GTACAATAAAACGACAGCAGATTTTCATGCAAAATAAAACTGTCCGCATTAAATACAGAATCTACGTAGACAAATGTTTCGTTCCATCGAGATGAAACAATTGCAACGGTATTTCCAAGTTCCATAAACAACGTTTCGTCTTTGATCTAATTGTTGCAACGGATGCAAAAATGTCCGGCGTCCTAATAAATTTCTGGAGGTTTTTTCCCCGAAGGAAACAGAGTAAACCGACCGCGGCGTGGTTTATTTTGTCTCCGGGTCCGAAGCCGAACGCAATAAATTCCATAAATTGCCGGAGAAAACGTCGCTCGACTATTCATGAATATTCGCGGCGGCACTGCGCGGCCCGGCATTGTTAGCCACGGTGCATTTGCGGAGACGCCGGGCCGGGCCGGGCCGGGCTCGGCCGGGCGACAGAGCGTGGGCACAGCACTAGCACAAAAGGAGATCGGCTTCCTTCGATGATGCACGGCCGCTTCTCGTTACGTTGCGCCCGAGTTGCTCGTCACGAGAGCCACCTGAACCGCAAGCCGAGTTTTCATTACCCGACACGTCGTTGTCACGATTCTTCTCGCAGGAAATGAAAGCCGCTGCTTAGCCCGCCTTCGTTCCGCGGTGTCTGCTTTTGAGGCGGCTGCGGCCACGGCTGCGACCGCGGTAGCGACTGAAGGGCGGCCCGAGAATTATTCGCGAACGATGAAAGCGGCCCGGAAGCACGAGAATGCCTGCGGGAAGCTGGGAAGAAAACGCGACGCCGCGCCGGCCAGACAAATTCGCCCAGCACACGGGCGCCCCTGTTCAACCGGATTCTCACGCGAATTCGATGCTCGATAATTCCCCATTTTATTCGAACTCCGATAAAAACTGTTGCCGAAACGACTCAAGAACAGGAACTTTCTTCCTGTTATTGTGCGCGGTCTCGTTCTGTATTTACACGAGGCCGGAAATGAAACTTCTCGCGCATTTCGCACGGACTATTTAAACATAGATATTACAACGTCGGGGATCGCAAGCTGCGCATACTGGCCTGATAATTCGCCTCCTCTGGCTTAAATTATTTTAGAGCTGTTTCTAGGTTTAAGCTTATAGTACAGGCCTGGGCATTATCAAGATAAATTATTTGAAAACTAGTCGTTGCGGTCATATATTTTTCTATTTGGCTACTTGTTATTTGAAATAACCATAGATTAGTTTATTAGAGGGGTAAAATAATTTTTAGAATGATATTTCGTTATTTGGATTTAAATATTGTTACATGTAATATGTTATATGTAATATAATTGTTATTTGTAATTATATGTCATATTATTTGAAATTATTACTAGTATTTGTAATAATTATTTGCAATTATATGTAATACGGTATATATATAATACGATTGTTATCAAATATTTATGACAGCAAATATATGTGACAGCAAATACAACTAAATTATAAAATTCTCATTCCAAGAATCATTATAATTTATCTGTGTAGAGTTAAATTTAGTTAAGTATAATTTATTTGATTCCATAATTTTCAGATAATTTCAAACAATTCTTATTAATTCAATTCCAATTAATTTGATTTGATTATTTGAAAATAATTTATTCGAACTAAAAAACAAAATAATGTTAGTTTTCTATAGTATCTGTGAAATAAAAATAAAAGAGTATTTGAAGTTACAAGGAGTTGCCAATACATAGGAAAACGAATTCTGTTCGCATATGAAAGTTGACAAATTGAACTTTGCCCACAAAATTGTTTTCCAGACCGCTGTGATGGGTCGCAACTTTTTCGTTGGTCGCACTCGTAGGACGTCCGAATTTTTTCGCGGACTGGCGACCTTCGTTTCGGTTGCATCAGTTCGCGCGAACTCTCCGCTGCAACCCATATTAATTTTGTTCGAGCTCCGTGAAGTCGTTTGTTTGCATCGCGCTTTCGAACTCTGTCACGATTCTGGGGGCAATTTCATTTTGTTGGGAATGGTGAGGACGTGTTCTAAGTGACTTGTTCCTGTTGTACGAGTTAGAAACAGTTACGATTAGATTGCGAATTTCGCGAATTTCTGGCAACATTCAGTTGTTGCAATTTCAAATTGTGAAAATAGTGAACGAATTTAGAAATGTCTGCTATCCTTGAAAAGACTAAAATTATTCACGAAAGTACATTCTTCTCAGTTTCTATTCCCCACAATTGATCCAGACAATATTTATTTTGCAGTCTAGTTACAAAACACGCTGTGAACGGCCAATCATGAAATATGATTCATATGCCTCTAGAATTACTGTTGAGTGCATGTTTTTAGAATTACATTCGATCTAAATAAACAGAGATTCTGTCTTTTAGACATATGAGTACTAACAAAATGACTACAATTAATCCCTACAATTGATCCAGACAATATTTATTTTGCAGTCTAGCTATAAAACATGCTGTGAACGGCGAATCATGAAATATGATTCGTATGCCTCTAGAATTACTGTTGAGTGCATGTTTTTAGAATTACATTCGATCTAAATAAACACAGATTCTGTCTTTTAGACGTATGAGTACTAACAAAATGATTGCAAAAAATCGTACAAGAGGAAATGCAGAGCGGTGAAATTTCTTGAGAACGTATCGGAGAAAGCTGATGCATCGCGTCAAAGAGACGATTCGATTAAAATTACCGAAGGGGAGCAAGGAAAGTTCGTTTAACTCGAACCAGTGCGTCTCTCTCTGAAAAGCAAGAATTGCGTGAGTCGTTCTGGAAATTTGTTCTCAGAGACTCGCGCAAAAATCTCGCGAGCATTCGCGGAGCGATAATTTTTCCAGGTTGAACAGATTATGCAATGACGCAACGCAGAACGCGTCGTCGCTCGACTTTAAGGAAGCGAAGTCGCAGTGCTCAGTTTCTTTTGATGGGATACGCGAGCTATTTGCATAACATGCGCATAGATTAAACATTTCATTTCCTACAGCGCTCCGTACATAGCCGTAATTCATGTTCCGCCGAGTCTGTCATTCGCCAAGTGTTGTTCACTTATTGAAATTGTCGTCTAAGCGATAAGAATCATTGTAGGATCGGTTGTTCATTACAGCCATCGCTAGATCGCGGTTTCATGGATTCGCGATAATGTTTCTCGACGATTTGCCATCGTAAAACGTTTAATAAATCGGATTACGTCGTCGCCTTTTTTACCCCGCGGATAAGAATCGTCAATGAAGGGACCACTGTTTTTCCGATCGTAATTATTCCAAACCGATAAATAAAAATCTGTATTTGCATAAAGATCCGCGGTCTACGATGTATGGGGCCCGACCGTGATCTAAGAGAGCAAATCTTGACAGCGCGTTATTCTTTTTATGAGGACGCACATAAATTTGCAAATGTTTACCTTGTGACGTAAAACCATTCCTCATTTGGATCCAGATTTGAATATTACGCCATCGACGTCGGACGCACGTCAGAATACAGGATATTTGCGAACTCAGCACTAACGAAATTATTTTCGTTAAAATATATTTCGAAACTGGATGGTATGTAAAAAAAAGTAATTAATAGACTTCGAGTTTTATGCATTTATGGGATATATGTATACTTTATTTTAATTTAGAATATTAAGTAAACTAAGAGAACTTTTCAAATTATTTTAAGAGGAAAGCAAAATTGCACTTGACTCCTATAGTTTGCAAATTGATGCAGATCATTTTTATTTTGCATGAAAATCCGCAGTCTATTAATTAGGATTAAAAAGCGACGCGCTTCCAGACTTACGATTATCTTTCCTCGAGTTTTAGGAGCGTTATTACAGCGATACAGCAATTTCTCCCTAATTCGCGTTCAAATTGCGCACAAAAATGGACAATTTGGGAAGAGAAGATACGATTATTCGAGTCTTGCGGCTTATTTTTCGAGTTACCGATTGTGAACAACTACAAAAACGCGTAATGCTCCTTCTCCTAAGACTCCTCTTCCCAAATTGTTTATATTTGTGCGCAATCTGAGCGCGAATTAGGGAGAAATTATTGTATTTGACATCTAGAACCGTTTAATTTAATTCTCGCACGTTTTTCAGAAACAGTTGCACAGAAGATGCTTCTGCAACTCGCTTGGGCTTTCTTTTTATTGTTGCATAATAAAGAAAACACGATTCTCCAAAAGGAGCGTGCGACGGTAAATAACAATTTCTTGCGGATTTCTCCAGCAATGTTTCAACTATGAAAACATCAAAATCGCAATAACGATGATGTTTGTACAGAACGAGTCTCCTAACGCGACGACTTCGAATTGCGTGTAAATTATTAACTGGAGCTGCGAAGGTCACCTTTGGTTTTTGAAATCGAACACAGTATTGTGCCATGCGACGCATCAAATTAACGTTCGTAAATTGCACCAATGAACGTGCAATTTTTCATTCTACCGTGAAATGTTCTTTGACGTTCTGGTACCATGACGATCGAAATGAAGCGAATTCCACCGACGTCTGAACGACCGTTTAAACACCGTACGATGTAAAACGTTACAATTCACGAAGAATGATTCATCTTCGAGTTCGAAAAATCTACAAAGCATATCTCGCGGCTTTTTCTAACAACGTTCCCGTCGCGCAGCGAACGAATTACGCGCGGTTCGAACACGTCGCGTTCGTAGACTCGGCCTGCACGACGATGTTCGACACGGAACCGGCGCATTTCCAGGGCTCTCTGATGAAAAAAAAGCAAAAAGAAAAAGAAGAGAGGGACAGAACTGGTCCGGAATCTTTTTGCTCCGTTCCTGACGCGATAATGGGCCTCTAACCCATTTTTTCGGTTTCAACGAGTGCCAGCAATGTCAGTACCCGAGGAGATCGACAACCTGTAACAATTCCTTTGTGCGCGCGCGGCAAGGACGAACGAACGAAAGAGAAGGTAAAGAACGAAGTGGAATAAGAAGTCGCGCGCGGGGAGGGTGTGAAGGGTGGCAGGCGGCGAGGCGCGAGAAAAACCTTGCTCGTCCGTCCGCGCCGCCGCCATTTTCACGGAGTGCGGTACGTTACCTCCTTTGAAGGCCGAGGAGATTCATCACGCGGGAAACAGGCGAATCATCGCGCGGCAACAAAGCGGCCGCGTTCCTCCGGAAGCATTATCCGAAATCGGGGACGGCTGAATGGAGGCGGTGGTCCCTCGGCGAACGGTTCGACGACCGGCGATTATGGTCGCCGGGGGGGATGACGCGACCGACGACTTAATCCGTCGTCCCGATTCCCGGCTAATCGTCCACGGCCGGGCACGCCGCTTTGACGACGAGGAAACCGGCCAGACGAACGCGGCCAACAACGGGCCGCGCCACGCCAGTCACGAACACCGATCACCACAATCCTGTCACGATGATTCCGATTAGAATCCGTGGCGACAGCGCGCACAGGAGTCGCGGCCGCTCATTCTCAATATTCACTCCAGATCACTCGGAACCCTCCTTCACTCGACCAGCCGTTGCTCGATCTGCACTTGCCACGAGATCCCGCCGTCATATGGATGATCTTTGCAGCAGGACTTCGGGAGGGGGGATTATTTCGATCAGAACTGTATCTCTCATTTTTTTTTCACCAAGTTTTTCCTTCTCGGTTAAAGAAGCTAGTTCCAGATGGCTAGCAACTGGCTAAGCTCTGGATTTGGACGCTTGAGAAATTGGAACGAATTGACAGTTCGATCGAACTTCGTGTTTGCAGAACTTTGGGAAGCTGTTTCCGTCGAGGCTGTATTTCCTTTTCGTTGTGCCAAATGCTTTTTCGTCGCGTCCTCCGTCGCGTAAAGGAGCTAGTTCGACGAGGATTGGGTCCTGACTTTATAAACTTCACTTTCTCAACTGGACTAGCAATTGGCTATGGATTCGGTTGCTCGAGAAATTGGAACGGATTGATCATTTGATTGAGCATTCTATTCGCAGAGCAGAACTTATGCAAGTTGGTCCAATCGAGACAGTATTCTATTTTCATTGTGCCAAATGTATTTTCCTCGCGTCAAATATTCTTTCGTCCCGTAAAGAAGCTAGCTCGATCGTGTTTAGACTTGGCTAAGTTCGGTTTGTCTATTAACCATGCGTGCCGGAAGTTAGCAAGAGCTATTCACCGTTAGCAAAAGCAGCGAGGACCGCGGATATGATTATTAGAATGTCAGCGTGGTTCAGATATGACTCCGACACAGGAGGCCGCGTATCGGTATCTGGATGGTTAAAGAAACAGCTGACAAAGCTCTGGATTTGGTGGCTCGAAAAATTCTGAAAAATCGACGATTTTTGCATCGTCCGTGTTTGCAACAGGACTCCGGGGATCTGTTTCAATTAACACTGTTCCCCTTTTTTGTTCAAATCTTTTGTTTGGTTGCGTCCAATTTCATTTCGTCGCGACATTTGGGTTCTGCCTTGGTAAAGCTCGCATTCGTCAACAGGATTAGTAGCTGACTAAGCACTGGACTAATTTGATCTTTAAAAAGCTGGTTCAATCGAGATTGTATTTCTCTGCATTGTACCAAATTTTTGTTCGTCGCGTCAAGTTTTCTTTCGTTGTGTAAAGAAGCTATTTAAATTTCTATTAAAAATCTATCATAATTCAAATTTATAGTAAAAATTTATTTGTACTGAATTTTATATAAAAATCTACTGGGTATAATTAATTTCAGTTCTTAATTTAACGAGGTTTGGATTCTGATTTGATAAAGTTTGGATTGTCTATTGATGAAGTAGCTGCCAAGCACTCTGGATTTGGTGGCTTCAAAAGTTAGGAAGAATTGAAGATTCGGATGAGATATGTGCAGCAGAACATTGGAAAACCGTATCGATCGAAACTGTTTTTTTCTCGTCGTGTCGAATTCTCTTTCATCGTGTAAAGAAGTATGGAATAAAGTTTGCAGTACAGTTCGGACAATTTAAATAAAGCGAGGGATAATTTCGTTGAAATCTGCACTCGTTGTCACCGCTTAATGACGACAATGGTACTGTCTGTTTCGGAGAAATCGATTGCCCATCGAGTTCACAGAGCGCATTTCTTTAAAGGGAATTTTAGAAAGCGCTCCAGAAATGGCGCAGCCGGCTGCAGGAATGTAGATTTGCTGAAATTTTGGCAGAATGGTCTATAAAGGTAGAAATTTGTTCTAGGATTTGCATTCTGCTTACAGGGTAGAAATAAATGTATGCATGAACTATGGCGCCGTGCTCCATCATTGTGTATCATTTGCATATTATACGCGGGAAGAATTTTCATCTCGTAATTACAAGAAAATATTTGAATTAGACAGCCTCGATAGCATCGGATAAAATTACGTTCGTCTAATCCGGAAATTTCCCGCCGGTCTGCGGATTCGATAGCTCGAAAAGTTCAATGGTGATTGAAAATTTTGCTCGATTCTCCGCGCGATTCTACGATACACCGATGAAGATGCGATCGTTTCCCCGATTGCGTATCGCGTTCACGGAACGCATGTTTCCTAAAGAGATAATCAAATAATCTGCGATGTAATTGACACTTCCTTTGTCTCCCCGTTATCGAGTCCTTTAAAACGTATCCGATGCTCTCCACTCTTTCGAACAGATTACAACGGTAGTGTGCGTTTTATAGATTCGTCTTTCAAAGAGCCACTAAACCGTACGCATCGTTTTTCACAGAGACTCATCGAGACGGAGTGATCTCGATGGCGTATCGAAGTCTCCACTTTGAAACGGAGAATAGTTTTCTAATCCAGAGCCGTAGCCAGATACTTCGGCGATAGAGCAAACACGATCAAAGGAACAGATTTTCGACGTTCGCGGCTCGATTGCCGATCACTGTGCATTAGACGAGCATGCGAAACGCTTCCCGATATGCGTTCGTTAATTTATGTGTGCGGAACACTTCGCGATACGCATTTGTTAATATCATTATTCATACGTATGCGAGACACTTCGCGATGCGCATTTGTTAATATCGCTATTCATACATATGCGAGACACTTCTCGATATGCATTCGTTAACTTTATTATTCAAACGCATTTGCGCTAATTTGTATATTCGAAAGCACGCCTCGATATGCGTTCGCTGATTTCGCTGCTCGTAAGTATGTGCCGAACACTTCAGGACGCGTATACGTATTTGCTCTCCGTCATGAATACAATGCGTTGCAGCAGATCTAAAAGTGATTTCTCAGCTACACGCATCTCGATCCGAAATTCAAAGATCACTTAGTCACGACGTTCGAAGCGCGCAAAACGCAGCCCACAAGAACGACGTCTAAACAAATAAACAAACGCAAGCTTTCGTCCGATTTCTATCGTTATCGTAATATCCACGTTTCCCTCGGTGTACCCAGATACTTATGACCGACGAGAAGGATCCCGAACGAAATCGACGTTCAAATGCGAGAATACAACCGTGCCAGGCAGCAGCGAGACGCGTCGGCGTCGCCGGCTCGCAATTTCCCAGCTAAAAGCAGGGGATGAAAAATTCGCGAGCGAGTTGCTCGCCGGAGGTTCTCGGAGAAGCGAGGAGCGACGAGCTGTTCTCGCGTGGGTTCTCGGGGAAGCGAGGCGGTCGACGGTGTCGCCGAGCAGCGAATCGTTGAACCGGTCTTTAATAATGGAGAGTCGCGAAAGGGTGCGGAGCGCCACGCGAAGGTTATGAAATGCCGCGGAAGTAAGGAGGACTTATGCAACGTTCAATTTGTATAATGTATTCAAAATACGGTGGCGCGAAAGCCCGGCCGGCCGGATCTGCAATTATAATGCTCCGGAATAAGCCGACGGTACACTTTCGGCCGCGACGTGCGGGGTTCTTCCTCGGAATCGGGCAGCAATCCGCGCCGGAAAAAGCCTGACAAAACCGGGGACAGCGCTAAGAGCGACACTGCAACCGTTCCTCTGCAAAGACCATCTATATCCACCGATAATCCATTTACATCTAGGGCGTCGCAGCAGATCGCACGGTTTCCCTGCTGTCACCAAGACGGCACAGCGGCTCTCGGAGCCGCGACTACGTTCGATCTCACACTGTAACCATTGCATTCATTTCCCAGGGCACTCTCGATCACATATCACCACCTATCCTCGTCGCGTACTCGTCTCGCGGGTACGAGGGACCGAGGACCACTGTTGGATCGCTCGGGGCAACGCCGGAAACAACGGCGCCAGGTGCCGAACGGTGGGGGTCACGTCGAACGGAAATGCGGGGAAAACAGTAGGCCACGATCGGACACGATAAGGTAACAAGTGGAAAAACTCGACGGCTAGATCCGACGGTCGTTGTGGCGCGCGGCAAGCCACTGACTGCCTCCACTAATTCCACGCCTTTCCCTATCCACCCCCCTACTCCGTGCACCGCCACCTACGCCGATCACCCTTGCACACCCTCTTCGCGCTGTCCTCGACAACCCCAGGCGCAAACGCCACGACGATCTCCCCTCTACGACCCCCTTGCTTCCTCTCTCTCTCTCTCTCTCTCTCTCTCTCTCTCTCTCTCTCTCTTTCTCTCGCTCTCGCTCTCTCTCGCTCTCTCTCTTACTCTCTCGCTCTCTCGCTCTCGCTCTCGCTCTCTCGCTCTCGCCCGCCCTCTTTCTCCCTATCCGCCTCTCTATTCCCCTTCGGCAGGGTAGCCGAACGGGGAGCACTCCTTCCTCCAATTTTCCTCTCTCTTTTCCCGCTTTCATAATGTTAGCCGTGTTATTTCATTCTTTGCATCGTTTACCGGAATTCCAAACCGTATTATTTTTACCAATTTCCGGATGCGCCAGACAACTCGCATTTTATCTTCGCCGCGCACCACCGACGACGACGATTCCCGCTAATGGAAAGTAAAAAAAACTCCACGCTCTTGGGACCGGAGAGTTTCGGGTTCGCGGGTTTTCAGATTAACCGGTGACTATCTGGACGGTAGGAGATCCTTAGGGGTGAAACGCAGGGGTGTCGGGCGTCTTCCGGCGGGTTCTGTTTATGCTTCTTGGTGAATTCATGAGTATTGCTCTGGTGCAGAGTCGGGTATTATTCGGATTATTTGCTGTTAATTTAGTCGAGTATTTTATTCAAGTGAGCATTATTTATTATTTGTTAGTAATTACTATATCTATTCATTCGAATAAATCTTTGTTCGAGTGATTCTTTGTTCGAATAATTCTTTGTTCGAATAATTCTTCGTTCGAATAATTCTTTGTTCGAATAATTCTCTTTCTTCGAATAATTCTTTGTTCGAATAATTCTTCGTTCGAATAATTCTTCGTTCGAATGATTCTTTGTTCGAGTGATTCTTTGTTCGAATGATTCTTTATTCGAATGGTTCTTTGTTCGAATAATTCTTTGTTCGAATAAAATCATATTCGAATGAATTCTTATTCAAATAACATTTTATACCGTTAAATTTTTATTTTGATAAAATTTTATTCGTTGGTCTTCATTTTGTATCCGTCAACCGAATAAAATTTTGCCCAACTCTACTCTAGCGGAGAGAAGTACGGAAATGTTTCGCAGTATTTCGGAATTTTTCGCGGAACCTCTGAATGGCGGTAACTTTATTTGAATTAGCGAGTGGATTTTTGCGTTTCAGATAGACGCGTGTAAGCGAAACACGGGAGAATAAAAATGCTAGAGAAAGGAGGATGGTAAAAAAATAGACCCGATTTTGGACCATGCTGAGAACGAAAAATTGGATCAGGGCATGATACCATATTTTCTAAGGTGTATGAAATAAACAATTATTTATCTGGGAAGAAGCGGGAAAGTTATTCAAAGTAAGCGTAAAGCACAGTCTGTAATATTCGACCAGTTAATATATTTCCATAGTATTTCTTCTGATGATGATGTATCATCCAAATAATCATTTAAAAAATTTAACAGGCAGGTTCGTCGATATTTGATGTCCAGCGTATCTAAAATTCTCTCTACATCCACGTAGACCTTCTATTAATCCATTGATGCCAATACCAATAATACCTTCTAA